GAAAAATGTATTGGTTCTACACCCCTACCCTAATATCCCCTCAACTTCCTTTATTAAAAAAGAAAAAGTACCTTGTGAGCTCCTATAATGTCAGGAAAGCAACCAAGAAACCCTTTGTATTCATGATTTGTTTCCATCAGAAAATGGAGATCCTTCCTTGGCTAATAGAGGAAATACAGCATGTGTTAACAAAGAATCATACATTACCATCACAATTTAATAGAAATTTATGCGCATTGAACAAAAGCTGGTTTTCATAAGGAGAATGTCACATATAGAAAAAAAATGAAAAAGTTTCAACATTTTCTCTATTTAAAAGCAAGTTATCGCTCAAAGGAAAGGTTGTTAGTTTAAGGTAACAAAAAAGTAAGAGTTTGTTAATTAAAAAATACCATTAACATTACATTTTTAGTGAAAATATTTATGTTAGCGTTAAGGTGAAGATCTTTCCATTTTAGACATGCAAGAGTATATCAGGGAACATAAGTACAGGTTTCTAATCGAATCTAGAGAGAGCATCAAGATAACACATTGAATACCACATTTCAAATGCTTTGGCTCCATATTTTGTTTTTTATTCACTATTGAATCTTTTTCTTTCCAAGTGTCACTGAGAGGTTTTCAACCCATGCAGTGACACAAGTAGCAATCTAATTTTTTGTTTCTCCTATAGCAGCACAAAGGGCGATTTTTGTTTTGCAGATGCACACCAAGCATGCAACATATCTGACCAGCTACTCACTACAAAAAGGTCAGGTGTTTAGAAAACGACTACTTTCTAATATAAGAAATTTGGAAAAAAGACAAGGTTCTTTGGGTAAACGTGATATCGTCTGTAAGATGCACTGCAGTCTAGAAATCAAATATAATAGTCATCAGGTGCTAGCTAAACAAAGCTAATTTTAAGCTTGAGTAATGACATTTTCAGTGGGAGACAGTGGACAGTGACATCAGAGAGTCATCTTTCAGAGAATTCGGAAAGCTTAGTTCGATCTCTTGAAAGACAGCATGCAAACTGAGATTCAAAGGGAATTTCTTTCTATCACTATTTCTCTATCCAGTATATGGTAGGGAAGATATACCATTTAAAATGTTATTTAATGACTTTTACAATTAAGAAAAACAGTTATTGCAAACTACTTATGTACATAAAATGTTAAATAATTCCACAAGAAAAATCAGAGGAAAATAAAAGTATGTAAATTAATTATAAGTTGACACAGTACGCAGATCAATCCATGATACTATATTAGATTATTTATACCTGTTCTGCCACAAGATTGGCAATTTCTTCATATGTTTTTCCTGCTTCTGTTATTGCTTCATTGAGATCAGATTCTCCTAAACATAAAATTTGAAGTGTTTAAATTAAATTGAAGTCATTAAGCTGATGAATCAAAAGCATTAACTAATTTCAAGTTTCACTGTTCTAAAATAATAAAAACTTGTGTGTTGTAACTGGTTATTTGTAAATAGCTAATAATTATATAAAAGAAAAAAAGGTAAAAGCATTACTGAACTCTGGTATACAACTCAGAAAAGGGGAAGCCTTCAAATAACTTGTAGAAGTGAATGTCTGTAGGATTAAACACTGTTCTATATAGCAGATAAGTAGCTACAATATCCAGTACTTTGTTTAATATTTTTATTACCTCAGACACATTTTAGAAGTAATTACTGCCCTTAAAAAGCAAAGACAAGGATTGTCAGAGGACTGGTTAAGGCAAGCTTGCAGGAACAGGGAAAGATCTGAAGACAGGGAAGATTAAAGCCAGGAGAGAGAGGTTTTGTTTTGTTTTTTTTTTTTATTAAACCTGCATGTTATATACTTCATGAATAATACTTTTGATAGTCTAGATTATCAGTACTGCAAACCCCAAACATTCCAAGTCATAAAAGTTATACCCACACT